CATTTTCCGGGACAGATCCTCCAGGAGGAAAACCAACTCAGCCGGCCCCAGCTGCACCACCTCCGTCGCCTGTCAGTGTACACACCATAGTGACTAATATACCTGCACCACATGACTGCACCGCACCACATGACTGCACCGCACCACATGACTGCACCGCACCACATGACTGCACCGCACCACATGACTGCACCGCACCACATGACTGCACCGCACCACACCACATGACTGCACCGCACCACCATGACTGCACCTCCTACACCCAAAGAAGGTTCTAGAACAATAAAACATTTATATTTGCTTTCACAGAGCTGTCGTGAAACTACAAACCCCATCATGCCGCTGGGATCATTTAACCCTTCATGTTAGCAGGAGAGAATTGTAACCCTATTACTGCCGTGTATTCTATATGTAGTACATGTATGTTACACACATCCAGCAATAGATTCTTCGTGTCCCTCCCCACCCCCACTTCCTGCTCCATGACGGCCGGCCCCTCACTTCCTGCTCCATGACTGCCGGCCCCTCACTTCCTGCTCCATGACGGCCGGCCCCCCACTTCCTGCTCCATGACGGCCGGCCCCTCACTTCCTGCTCCATGACGGCCGGCCCCTCACTTCCTGCTCCATGACGGCCGGCCCCTCACTTCCTGATCCATGACGGCCGGCCCCTCACTTCAGTAATTGTTACAATGTATCGGCCCCGAGACCCCCCCCCGGTCCAGGATTTGCGGGGGGATCTCCCTGAATGGGGAAGGACAGGCACTTGGGGGCGGAGTCCCGTTACCTTGGTACACATTTCGGAGTCCAGAAGGGAGCGGGTGAGGAGGCCGCTGTGGAGGACGGTGAAGACCTCCAGGTCCAGCTCCCGGAAGAATGGAAGGAAGCTGCTCAGGCTGATGGAAGGTTTCCCCATCTCCTCCGGCTCCTTGTGGAAAAGACATTTATTAGGAATGATGACATCATCACACGGGGACACAAGGCGTACAAATATTGGGGACGCTCAGCACTGTGCGACTTAGGCCGGTGCTGTCCCTCCCCTCGTCTGTGATTGGACAGTACAAGTAGCTGACTGGTTACTCTGCTCTCTCCTCCTGCCAGCATGTACCACATGAACACGGCCTCACAACCCATTGGCTCCTTGTGCTCCCTCTCCCAGTCTGAGCTCTACTGCTGGAGCTGGGAAGAGGTCACCATAGAGGAGAGGACTCTCCCGGGAGTACCACCATTGAGTGCCCACCTTCTCCGGCTCCGCGTCCATCGTCTCCTCCATCTGGGAAGCTTCTGTAGAGGAATTCTTCGTATCGGCCAATCGGCGCTTCTTCCCTGCGAGACACAAAGCCGAGAAGGTGACACCCATCCTCCATCACACCCTCGGACTACAAATCCCAT